TTGAATATCGAGTGTTCCGGATTTCGAACCACGCTTTATTCGGCCGACTGGTTTGTTTCGTTTTCGTCCGTTGTCTAGACAGCCGCTGCTTAGAAACCCCTTTGACAATGGCATGTCGCACAATGAATGTCGTAATAGCGTTTATCTTGGTCATGAGGAGGCGAGCTGCAACACGAGCCATGGGGTAATCCAATGCCGTAAACATCTCTAGTTGATTGGTCTGCCGTCCCCCTGTTCGAACGGTCATGGTTACCAGGGTACCTACATTTACTGGCGGAATTCTGTGTGCAATGAATGGAGGATAATCAGGAGGCTGCAAGATGGCCAAGTGGTCGAGGATAATCAGGAGGCTGCAAGATGGCCCAAGTGGTTAGACCTCGAATTTACTGCCCGGAAGGTCCGTGGTTCGAACCCGACCTCTACCTCTCGACTTCCCCTGTCTAGACCTGGGCAACCTGGCAGTACCCAGCCCCCGTGCTTCCTTCGGGTGGTGTGGCATCTAAGCACCGGAAGGGTGCAACAGCTGAACGTAAAACAAGAGAATAACCAGCCCATAGCTGTGGGAAGCAATTGCGTTGTCGGTTCTGGGAGCATCCACAGAAAACCTGCTGCTGAGACAGCTGTCATACTTATCGAGTCCCGGAATCTGGGCGTCAGGATCGTCAGCTAGAGTACTGGTATCCGTGTACGTCGTCATACGTAGAAATCTCTGCCGCAAGTGTCTTATCTTCACTGCTGAACTTTGTGCGGGAACAGCGAATAGACCGCTCATTGCTGATTCAGACAGACCAAGCCAACCCGACTGCACACATTCGGCTACTCACAGAAGTTAAGCAGATCCTGTTCAGCCCTCTCGTCTGGATCACCCTGAACCCGGAGAATAGACCGTCAATAAACCTAACTGTTCTGGACCGTATTCAGACCCAGTGCTGTATGTTTCGGTAAAAGTGCACATCGGCAAAAGGGTGCGAGTAAGGGAGATCTGTTGTCCCACCATGTGGGAATTAAACGCTGCTAATGTGAACAGATTTATTGATGCTATTTTCACGTTTAATTTCCATCTTTTTGGGTATACGGTTAGAAATGAACGCAGAATCTATGGATCTTCAAACACACGGGGTCATATTGGCAGGATCACTAGTTGGGGTTGAAATTGGCCAACTGAACGGATAGTCGCTGCTCTGATGTTGCGTACGGAAATTTAACCTAACGATTGCCCAGGCCAAGGAAAGGATTCTTGTTGACGTATCCTACCTTCAGTCTCTGATCCAAGAATCTCCAGGAATGCCCAGTGTTCTCCGTAAGAATAGCACTCAGAGTCCCTTATTTGCGATTTATCCCGAAGTGAATCGATTTTATATTCTAACAACGTGAACTCTCGCGACTGACAGATTGGACTTTTTTTTAAACAACGGAAGACGACTGTAGAGCACTCGCGTAACAACAGTGACTCCTCATGTAACCATCAGTTCCTCTAGTCATGAGGCTGCGTAGTAACCACTGACCTGTTCGAAGCCGATTTCCGCACTGGAGAAAATGCCTTGTGCTGCACGCAGGCCGCCTCATGTTTCAATTGGCACGGTATTCGAGATATCGCAGTATATTTTAATAAAGGAAACTACTCACAAGGTTGCTGAAAACTCTTCGACAGCCCACGACCTCTTTCGTCGTTCTTGGGGCTCATCAGGTAGGCGCAGTCCCCG